AAAAAAAAAAAAAAAGAATATGGCTCTGTGCTCACATCAGAGGCCAAATGAGCAAGTGGCAGGTCTGAGGGGTCAGGAAGTGCCCCGGATTCAGCCATGTGCATGCTGATCACCTGTGCGGATGCCATGCTGGCCTGTGCTCACTCCTGTGAGCAGCTTGCAGCAAAAATGCTCCATGAAATAGATTCTAGAATGTCAGGGGGTGGGGGGTGATCATCGAGGGATGTGTGTGTCTTTTCCCTTTCCCTCAAGCAGTTTTTACAAAAAAAAAAAAAGAAAGAAAGAAAGAAAGAAAAGAAAAAAGCCAAACAAAACATCAACCCCTTATCCTTGTCAGGCAGGGAGGAGGCTTGAGGTCCTCCCAGGTGGTGCAGACACCTGTTGTCTCCTGCTTCCCTTAATCTGAGAACCCGCTGTCCTCATAGGACCAGGCTTCCTGGGGGAAAGGTCTAGAACAACACCCCTTCCTCCCACGGCCTCCCACTGCAGAAGGAAGCTGCTGGCAGGGCAGGGTGGTCAGTGTCCTTGATGAGGGGCTCCCCCCACAGCCCAGCCAGAATGCAGAAGGAGCTCCCACCAGGGTGGGGCACCCCAGGCGGAGGCTACTTCCCTCCTGAGGGAAAGAGCTGAGCCGTCCCAGAGCCCTGAACCCTGACCAACCACACCAAGCTCACGCCGGAGCTGTCAGAGGAGGACTTTCTAAATGGTGAACACAGGGAAGATACATCTTTGGTGGGAGACTCCATGAGAAGCATGGGGGCGGGGCAGGAGGACCCACGAAGTCAGGGGTCCCCCTGGAGTGATGGCCAGCCTCCTGCTTGCAAATGGCCTTTTCCTTCTACATCACTAGGGAGGGGAGTGGGCAGCCCCAGGGGCCATACTTGGCCCTGTCTCCCCACTCAGCAATGGCCATCTCCACCCTTCCCCCAGGAAAAGACACAGCAGCACCCCTGGTTGTAGCTTCAGCCCAGGGTCTCAGGAGGAATCAGAGCAAATGGGCTGTGGTCAGAGATGGCTGAAAAGTCACTGCCTTTGCTTCTGGCCCGGCATGCCCAGACCACGGCCCAGCATACTAGCAGGGACGCTGCTGGGGAGAGTCTCCAGAAAAATGGGCTCACAGGACAGCTTGGGCTCTCTGGAGATGCCAGGAAGAGCCACATGTGCTGGGCAACTTGAGCTGACTCTCTACAATAGCTGCTTTCTGCTGAGGTCAGACCTGGGTATGGGGGGCCCCAATGACTTTCCAGATATCTCAGGCAGCAAAACCACATCACAAATAGCGACAGCAAAGCCTGACAGGCCTGACACCAATTAAATGAATCTAGCCAGGCCTGGTGAGCCTCTGCCTACCATGCCCTGTTCTCTGGGTAGATGCTGGGACTTGGTCTCACCTTACCATTCCCCTTGCTTGCCTGCCTTGAAGGCAAAGCAAGGGCTCCTGGGATGGAGGATTAGGCAGCCTTTGACCTCACCCAGTGGGCACCCCACCATCCGCAGGGGTGACATGGGGGAGCGCTAGTGAGGGGAGAGGACAGCCTTGTGTGTGTGGTCTTCACTTGCTGTCTCCACATCTGCAGCGGGTTGGGTGGTGCTACCCCTCTTACATGTTCACCTGCAGCCTCATGTGGAAATAGGGTCTTTAGGTCATGCACAGTGGCTCACACCTGCAATCCTAGCACCTTGGGAGGCCAAGGTAGGAGGACTGTTTGAAGTCAGAAGTTCAAGACCAGCCTGAGCAAGAGCAAGACTCTATCTATCTCTACGAAAAATAGAAAAACTAGCTGGGCAATATGGCAGGCACCTGTAGTCCCAGCTACTTGGAAGGCTGAGGCAGGAGGATCACTTGAACCCAGGAGTTTGAGATTGCTGTAAGCTATGATGACACCACTGCACTCTACCTGGGGTGACAGAGCAAGACTCAGTCTTGGAAAGAAAAAGGGAAGGGAAGGGAAGGAGATGGGAGAGGAAGAAAGGGGAGGGGAGGGGAGGGAAAAGAAAAGAAAAAAAAGGATCTTTGCAAATGTGCTCAGCTCTAGTTAGGTCATACTGGACTGGGGGTGGGTGGGCTAAATCCAATGGCTGGTGTCCCTCTAGGAAGAGGGGAGGGCACAGAGAGACACAGGCAGGAGCCCCATGACCTAGGGGTGCTGGGCTGCACAGGTGAGGACCAAGCAGCCCTGGAACCTGCATCAGATGCCTTGTGCAGCTGTCAGTTCCTGTCATTAGGCAATGACAGCCAGAGCAGAGAAAGAGGGACATAGAAGCTTCTGAAGAGAAACACTTAAGTGTTCACTCATGCTGATGCCCTGAACGTTTCTCCATATCTTTTGAAGGCTGAAGCGGGGAGAAGAAGGGGAAGTGGAGAGGCAGGAAGCAACGGGAAGGAGGGTGAACAAGAGGTGGACAGTTCTGCAGCACCAGGACCTCCTGCTACCACAGGCTCCCACCCGGACAGCTGGTCCACTCCCATGCCAGCACAGTGCCACACATGGTCTGAGAAAGGCCACTCCCCTTTCAAAGGGACAGGCAGAAATAGATGCTGACTAAGCCTGTTTCTAATACACGTGCTCCTCCCAAACAGTCTCCTGGGAACGTGACTGAACAGCCCCTCTCCGGACCGTGGCCCAAACAAGCCCACTCAGAAGCCTCCAACAGCAGGAGAGAAAAGATCCTAATCCTATCTAATGAGTGAGAGGTCACTGGCTTTCATTTATCTGAGAAGCCCAAGTATCCCCAAGGCTGCAAACCTGGCTCAATCATAGGCTGGGTGCTGTGCTAGAATTTGATCAACTACAGATCACACCTGGAGGCAGGTCAACCAGAGAAAAAGACCATCCATCCATCCATACATACACTCATTCATCCATCCATCCATGCATTCACACACTCATTCATCCATTCATCCATTCATACACTCATTCATCCATTCATACACTCATCCATCCATCCATCCATCCATCCACTCATTCATCCATCCACTCATCCATCCACCCACTCATCTATCTACTCATTTATCCATCCATCCATTCCATCCATCCATCCATCCATCCACTCATTCACACACTCATCCATCCATCAATCCATCCACCCACTCATCTATCTACTCATTTATCCATCCATCCAT